CATGAATTTATGCATAAATCGTATTAAATCTAATGCGATGCAATCGCATGCAAGTCTACGCAATCTTTTCACATCGCGCATTTTTTAGCTTCGCTTTTTTGTTCCATTTGTTTCGTTTTTACTGCTACGCGTTGCCTTGAGTCGGTCGAGCAAAGCATAATTTAAAGATAAGTGTCTAAGAGAACGTTAAATTAAAAAAAGTTAAATTAAATAGATTTATAATCGAGTTCTATGTACACGTTTAGATTGCGTAGAAAAGAATGTCACGATTGCTTTGCATTAAGTAAAATAATAATTTTTACGCAGCATGCAAGAAATAATGGAGATGTAACATACTTTATTCAGAATATCTTTCCATTAAAAGAAATTGTATAACATTTAAATAATTATATTAATATATATTATTATATAATAATTATATTATATAATACGCGTAATATAATTATATTATATAAATAATTATATAATAATTATATATTATTATTATATAAATTATTATATAATAATTATATTATTATATTTAAATAATTGTATAATATTTAAATTATATTAAATATAATAATATTATAAATAATAATATAATATAATATAAATATATAAATAAATAATGTATAAATAATATAATAAATACATAATAATATATGAATAAAATAATATATAAATTGCATTACAAAAATTGAATTTTCTTAGACGCTTGCAACAATTACACGACCGAATGCACCTGTAACCGGGACAACAGTAAATTGCCTTTTCTTTTCCGAATTGACGAAATAAGAACCTTTTACGCTTCCGGAATTTACTTCGCAGCCGACGTAATTTGCGAGCCGAGTCGTTTACGACCCGCACTTAAAACAATTATGTCGGGTATTTTTAAACGGTTTTTGTGGTGCAGGCACTAATGACGAAAGGACCTCAGGTTCCTCAAGGCCTTTAGCTATCCCTCACCGAATAACCTAGATACCTCAGGTACTTCCGGTACCTACAGGTACTTCGGCCACTCCGAATTCTCGAGGCATTCTGGATGTTTCCGAATCCTCGAACAAAGGACGAGATTCTAAGCGCAGAACAGGATTCTCAAGTGACATTCCGTCTCATCACGCCGACAATAAAATTCCACGCCGGTGGTAAAAGTCTTCCGTGCACGAGCTGTTCGGCTCGCTAATCAAACAGGTTCCTCTCCGTAACACGGAGGGAAATAAATTTTTAACGAGAAACATTTCTACAGTTACCCGCTACACTTTGAACTACTTTCTTTTTTATTTAACGGCAAGAGAAAGAGTATTTTCGAGGACAGCGATTTTTCATTTGCACGCTTTCGCTTGTTTTATTTGGGAAGAAACTGACCATTTTTCGGCAGCTATGTCATATCTTGTTGTTCGTAATTGTTCTTATATTATCGTTTTAGCGATACTAGAACGATAAAAAAGGCACAATTCGGATAAGAATTTTCATCAACTTTTCTCTCAATTGAGATTCAATTCCAAAAAGAATATTTTCGCGATAATTTCAAAATATTAATAATTAGTTTCAAAATATTAAATATTAACATTTTTAAAGACACAGACATATTTAACCCTTTGCAGTCGGTGCCATTTTAACTAGAAATCCAACCTAGTTTTTCTGACCTATATTTCCATTTTAACATAACCCTGGTGGTTTTTGTACGTATGAAATTGAATTTCGCGATTCACTGCGACTCGTACAACAATCTTGAGTAGAATCTTAGAGTGGCCACTCGACCGCAAAGGTATTTCCTAACGTAAAATAAATTCCATACTACTGGCGAACTTTTCATTGACTCACTCAATTAATCGCTGCTTAACCCTTTTCACTCGAAGCTATTTTCATTATATTTTAAACATATTTTCCGATCTACAGTATTTCTATTTTATAAGATTTATTGCTATTCATGCATATATGAAAGCCTATTGGCAAGTACAATAACTTGAAATCTTAAGAGTGTTTTAGATATAAACGAGTCTGATGCTATTTCAATTATTTTGAAAAATAGTATAGCAATTTTTAGTGGCGCCTCAGAGTCACCATTCGAGTGCAAAGGGTTAAATAATAGTCTCAAAATAAATTGCGTACTGTGAAAATATAAAAGGGGAATTTCTCTGAAAATGAAACATTATCTTCTCTCATCTAGATTTAGATTAACATTACATTTAAAGTCACAATTTGATTCGCGTTAACACGCATGTACGTTACCAATGAAAACCTGTAAATGTAAAAGCATTTTCAATGCTGTTGAAAATGGGTAATTCGTAGGTTTTACGGCCTTGTCCGTTTTTTAGGTAAAACGGCCCTTGCTGCCCATCTGCAGGGCACGTGAGCGCGAAACGTGCGTTGACTCGGAAGTCTCCGTTACACGGATTAGTTATTTATGACCAATAAAGATTTCTCGACCCATAGTTCGCGGGTCTTCCGCGTTTTTAGTTAGTCGTCGGTGAGCAGCCTAAGAGTACACTAGTTGTCTCTAAGCTCTCACGAGCAAGCCAGTAGATTAGATCGTGCGTTCAATAAATGATCAACAAAGCCATTTACCAATACAACATCTGCAGATCTCTTAGTACGGTAGAAACGTCGAAATTCCTAATTGTGCGAGCATCGACGCGAATTCTTCGCGGAAATAATTCAAAAATTAGTTTTCGATTGCGACACGTACTTAAATAACATACTCGTACAGTCCCCGTTTTAACCATACTCGGTGGTTGTATCTTACAAAAGAAAAATATTTATTACCTTCGTTCGTATTTTTTTTTCACACGGAGGGATATAACTTATTGCCGTGGTCCCTCGTAAATACCGTTATTAAGACAGTATCGGCGAGTCCACTTTCGAGGCGAGCGGAAAAAAAGCGCGGCCAACGATCGGCATGATGCTGCGCTACCGTAAAAACGACGCTATAACCGCGACAGCGATAGAGACGCGGAGGGAACAAATGGCGGGACAAATTTTACACGGTTCCGCGTACGCGGCCGACACGTAGACCGTCGACTGCGAAAATACCGTGGAACGCGCGCGATACCGAAATGCATTTACATCCCTCCATGCGCGCGGGCGCGCGCGCGCGCGAGCGCGAGTGTTCGCCAGGGGGATCGGCTTACACGCCGCAAATCGGCGAGGCCTCGGGTATCTGGCGTCTGCACTCGCCGAACGCCATTAAGTTGCCGCGCGCAATCAGAACGCTTCGAGAAGGTGCGCGAGTGTCAAGATTAATAATATGTCTCTGAAGATGCATCTGCTGGTCGTACACGTCCGCGAAATAGGTCGAGACTCTCCTCGGCGCTCGTTCGCCGGAAATACGGGGTGAGTCACGCGGGATCGAAACCGCCGATCGATCCTATATACATTGTGCGCGGGATAAGCAGAAAAAGATGGCGGCGGGATTCTTCGTCTTATTGACTCGTCTTTTTCTGCCGGCGCGGCGTAACGATGCATCGGGAACGCACCACGGTTCAACGAATACCACCGCTGAAAAACCACTGGCAGACTGTGCAATTTTGTTCTTTCGCTTCGGCTCCGACTCGAAACATTCGCGAGTCGAAATGCAAACTTGTCTCGACTCCGTCGCGCTGGATGCTATTGGGTTGTCCGGAAAGTTCGTGCCGATTTTTTAGGAAAATTAAAACGCGGCTCGTTTAAATATTGGAGCCAAGCTTCGCAATATGATAGTGGCTTTCGCGGATGTCATCTCTCTGAACGACGCGCCACTATAGTGGCTTACTGTAGTAGCTCACTCGGTCATCTTTTGAATCAAGTAATCGTCTTCATATGCATTGTTTCACACTTATTTTGCCTTCACATCGATTTACAACAGTCTGCAGGGTGTCTCAAGAATGTCTCGCAATCCGGAAATGGCGGGTTCCTCGGATCATTTGAAGCAACTTCTTCCTTTACAAAAATGTTCTCCGAAGCACCGTTAACGAGTTATTAACGAAAAACACTGACCAATAAGAATCGAGTACGGCTGACGCGAGGCGGCCCCAGTCAACCAGCGCACGAAGCCCAGTTCCGCTCATTGGCTCGATCGCCTCGCGCCAGCTGAGCTCGCCTCTCGTTGGTCACTGTTTTTCGTTAATAACTCGTTAACGGTGCCTCGGAGAACATTTTCGTAAAGGAAAAAGTTGCTTCAAATGGCCTGAGGAACCCGCCACTTTCGGATTGCGAGACATTTTTGGGACACCCTGTATATACAGTATCAGACTCTGTACAGTACATATCAGACTCTGCCGTCCAGAGAAATAGCCTCGCGCAGAATTCAGCCGTACCTAAAAGGTTAAAACAGAAACAAGGGTGCACGTCCGAAAAGCTTCCAGATTGTACACTTGCCAATACCTCGTGAACAATATGCTATTGTTGTCTGATTTTTGCAATATATTTTCCTACGTAATTTCTTATTATTTATTAATCTGTTACATTGAAATCTTTATATATGTGTTACATGCTTGTATTTAATGTGTAACGCCGCCCAGATGCATACGGAAATCTGATGTTACTGAATCGGGTCGGAACGAAGAAATACGAGCGGGATTCTGATACATTTCACTGCTCGAGATCTCGAGGTCCGGGAAGTTTCGGTACTGCGCTCGGTTCTCGGGCGATCTCGGTCGGTCTCGGGCGTTCCCGGTCTCTACGCATGCGTGGTACGCGTGCTATTCGTGCGTGGAGACCGAGATCGCCGGAGACCGTTCGCGAGAACCGAGCGGCAGTCCCGAAAGTTTCGGGACTCGAAACACTCGAGATCTCGAGCAGCGAAGCGTATCCCGGGCGATCCCGCCCGACTCTTCCCGACCCGTCCCGAACCTCGAGTTCCCGAGACTCGGGCGGGTTTGCACACACCTAGCCTAACGCCCGTAAGATCGTATCGCCGTGCGACGCGACACGGCGCGTCGCAGGATGGCATTAACGTCGTCCGATCGTGTTTCCCTTTTAACGCGCGGGTTTTTCTCTTCCTTTTGCTCCTTGATCTCAACTGTGTCGTAATTTTCTTTCAGGAGAGCGACGGGGAAAAGAGCGATCAGGACTTGGTGGTGGATGTCGCGAACGAGGTCAGTTCATCCTTCAGACTAAATCCGATATTTTTAGCACCGAATTCATTAGGCGGAAGCGTGGCGTATGCGCGGAGGCCGTCGATGAAAATGGAGGACCTTTCTTCGAGGCTGAAGCGATGACGGTGTGCGTCATTGACTTGTTGTGGTCAGATAGGATTCGCTCACACGGTAGTTTTAGAGCGGCTCGAGAACGCCGCCCGCGGATGAGTTTATTTTCAGGTGTACCGAGCATATTCTGTTCCTCTCAAATAATCGCTCCTCCGCTCATTGGAAAAGCGACGCGCTCGCCAATTTATCGACGCTCCCTCTCGCGGTGTTCTGACATACCGCGACGATTCGGATACTATTCCGTGACACACGTTCAGCTTTCGCGAGGTTATGGTAGCGTTCTGTAAAGCGATCTGTTATGTTAACGTGCTCTCTCTCTCCGGCTGGTAGTAGACGTGTAATCGATTGTCCGCAGTCGTTTGCGAAAGTATTTGAACGAGCCACGTTGAAAATTTATAAAAATTGTCTCTTTTCTTTTAAGTGTTCACCGAACGTATACGTAGACCGCAGGACCAAATATTTTCGTCGACGACTACACCTGTTTTTATTGTACACCAATGCCGTTTACTGTAAACCTCCTTTAGTTCGCTAGTACATTTAAACAAGAACAAGAAAGGGTAATGTAAAACCGTCCGACTTTGTGAAAAATAACGATCCGTTCACCTATGTTATACTACCCCTTATGAATTCGGTGTGTATATCGATTTAAGGTTAAGCTATCACGATTTCTGTTTCCTTTGTGTCAATATATGTGTAACGTGGTTACGTGAAAAAGACGAGGGAGTCGATGTACAATGTCCGACGTGTCGTGTAACCGACGAAGGCTCGGATAAACCGCATAATTAGCTGCAGATAAAAACGTTGCAGCAGAAAAGTTTCTCTGCAATATCCTTCGAATATCTCTTCGATCGTGGTAACAAACGGCCGACGGCCGTCTCTCTTGTAACTTGCTACGAAACTCTACGATCCCTCTTCATTTTCGATCGCCTAGTACAAGCTGACCGCTTCGTTGTACGTCAGAAATAAAAATCCAATACAGCGAATGATCTAGTCGAACTCTTCTGCACACGCGGTTGATGGTGCCAGTTTTTATTTTCTACAGGGTGTCCCAAAAATGTCTCGCAATCCGAAAGTGACGGATTCCTTGGGTCGTTTGAAGCAACTTTTACCTTTACAAAAATTGTCTCCGAGGCACCGTTAACGAGTTATTAACGAAAAACAGTGACCAATGGGAGGCGAGCTCGGCTGGCGCGAGGCGGCCGAGACAGCGGCGCCAGCGGTCGAGGCGGTCGAGGCGCCAGCCGTACTCTATTCTTATTGGTCACTGTTTTTCGTTGATAACTCGTCAACGGTGCCTCGGAGAACATTTTTGTAAAGGAAGAAGTTGCTTCAAATGATCCGAGGAACCCGCCGTTTCCGGATCGCGAGACATTTTTGGGACACCCTGTATTACCTAACCCCCACCGTTTCCCAGCATCGCGTTTCTCGAACACCCTGTGGACAAGCTATTAGATCCACCAAAACAACGCTCCGTGCAGCCTCAAGATCACGCACATCTGTGTACACGAGCCACGTTCCAGATCGATCTATTTAACGTTACAATTCCTCGTTGTGACATCGCATCGAAACAAAAAAAAAAGCGATTCTCCTTTCAATAAAACATTTGCAATACGAATTCCTCTCTTTTTTCAACTCTGCGATCTATCGTTTACCCGTTTGTTCTTTTCAGAGTCACGTAAGCTCGGTTCGCGTAGGGTCGAAGGCGGTTCCATAGTGGCGCGATGGTATCAACAAGTTCAATATGTGCCCGCGAGAAACAAAGTCAAACACGATAAAAAGGAGTTCATAGTTTCATAGAATTCGATTGCCGCACGGAGAGGATGACGTCCGGGCTCTCTTTGTATTTATAAAGTACTCGAATTAGAGACGCTGGGGCTTCGAACCCTGGAACACACGTGCCTTTGCTTCGATTCCAATGTTTGATCGAACCGATACCTAGGAGGATGGCGATCGAAATCAGATATACCGTCGCTCGAGTATAGTTCATCGTGCGAGCATAGAGTTACGAATTCGATCGAAAGCTCCGAACAATCCGAAGGAATCGATCGCGCTTTCTTTGGATCAAGAAAGAAAATTCAAATTTCACGCGATACAGTAACGTCTCTCTAATTGACGCCCAGATTGCGCACAAAAGTCGACAATTTGGGAAGAGGAGACACGATTATTCGAGCCTTGCGGTTTATCTTTATAGTTATAAATTGTCCAAAATTATAAAAACGTGCCGCAAGGCTCGAATAATCGTGTCTCCTCTTCCCAAATTATCCAATTTAGTGGACAATCTGAGCGTCAGTAAGGGAGACATTACTGTAATTGGCTCGCAAAACGTTCGATTAGAAAAATCGTCTAAACATTGTCTAAAATAAACCTTCTGTTTATCACAAACGGGTAAGAATGATTAAATATTTCGTCATCGCTCTCGTCGTCGTTCATCGATTAATCCTGAAATAACCTGTATTTTAGCCGTGGTGTTCGCGATTCCACCGGAACATTTTCTCTTTTTCGCGAGCAGAACACGTGAAAATATCAGTAATGTCTCTCTAATTGACGCTATGACAATTTGGGAAGAGGAGACACGATTATTCGAGCCTTGCGCCTCGTTTTCGTAGTCGTTGAGAATCGGTAATTATACAAAACGAGGCGCAACACTCAAATAAATCGTATCTCCTCTTCCCGAATTGTCCATTTTTGTGCGCACTCTAAGCGCCAATAAGGAAGACATCACTGTTACCTTGGAAACGAGAATCTCCGCTGTCGCGATCGATTTAGCGAAACCAAAAATTTAGCGGGTCTTTTACGCGAATGTCCGTCGTCGAACCAAGGTGCGCCGATTCGGCGGTAGAAATCGGCGAGCATATTTTCTCGCGCTCGATCCCGTCGGTAGAGCCCATAGGCAATCGGAAATCGAGAAACTGCAACGATCGCAACAGATCCCGGCTGTGGTTGTCGTCGGTAGTTCCTAAGAAGAAAAGAACGAAGCCGGAACCATGAAATCTTGACTTCTCAAAGAAACTTTTCTTCTTTTTTCCGCACAAAAGGAGGCGTCATCACCGCACGCGAACGGCGAACACTCAGACCCACGTGAGAACGGCACCATGGAGAAGCTGAGTGCTCCAGGACACGCGGGACCGACTTCCGGCGCTGGCTCGGCATCCGTAAAAGACAGGCCGCCCTCGCGGAGCGGAAGCTCCTCCGCTCGTAGCACACCGTCTCTGAAAAGTAAAGATGTAAGATCTCGCGGATAGCAAGCTTGTTCGGCGACTAATCGGTCCGGTTCCCCCTCTGTCTTCTCTCTGTCAGTGAGTTCATCTTGACGAACAGCCTCGAATACCCATCCGACCGTCCGAGACCCGGCCGCGTCGCCTCGGTATTCGAGTTTTTTTTTCTTTGATCGCTCTCACGAGATATCAAATCACGCTACTTTTACTACCTCTGCCTCCCCCGCACACCGTCACCAGAGGTGACCGAAAACGAACGCTGAAATAACTTTGTGGGCTGTCGCAGGCACGCCGGAAATGCATTCTGCTGAACAACCCTCGAATACGCGGTATTGTTTCTTTAAAGCGGTCTCTCTGTTTTTCAGCCGAGCAATGAATTTTCGGCATCGTTTTTTATCGTTCGTCGGTCGGCCACGGGTTTTACGATGAAAATCGGCCGGTGCGATTCGAAACGATAAGAAGATTAGGCGAATTCAAGAGCGGTCGATCGGTCAAAGTGATTTTGTTGGAATTATTTAAGGAAGAGGCTTTTCGAAAACCATGCGGACTATTTTGATGTTGTATAACAATTTGTGGTCTGTTCGTTAGTTTTTGGATGGTATTCGTGGACAGTTATAAATTAAATTTGTGCGATGCTATTCGATCAGAAGTAGACTGTGATTTTGCGTGCAGATTTTTATGGATTGTTTTATAGTCGTTTAAGTGGTAAAACTAATTGTTTCGTCCATTATCGGTTCAAATACAATATTCCAAATGGTGTAGGAAAATTGTTGGAGTTTTTAGAATATTGCATCACATTGTTTATCATAAAACGTCTGAAAATAAGAGAAAAATAAATAAACATGTAATACAAAAATGGAAAAAGCAGCATTCGAGAGACAAAATTTTTATTTCTGCCGTAAGTTCTAAATATTTTATATATATATCCACAGAGTTTAGCGATAAATCACGACGACCAATTCGCGAAGAAAATCGTTTCAAAGCCCACGTGGTGTTATAAATTGTGCAACTCGTTGAAAACAGAGGGATCTTTCAAAATTGTCATCCGAGTTAGACTTTAAAGCTATTACTAGTTACACTAGTTCACAGCTGTCCAAAATTATAGAAATTAGACTGCGGATGTTTAAACGAATTTACATGTTCACAGGATTCACGGAAACTGGAATCAAATGGATTTTATGTTAACGATTTCCCTTCGTTAAAAAGACGTTGCTATTATTCTAATGACAGAACTGCTGTTTAGAGTACCTACCTTCAATATTCTTGAACGTTACATATGTTGTGTCAATGTCACCCACTTTCGATGAATTTTAGAAGATTTCAGCTGTCAAGTTGTAGGCTTAAATCTAGATCAATGATTGTCCAATTTCGCGCGGACGCTTTAGAAAGCCAGAAGACAGAGCATTCTATGCTTTTAGTAATAATAAAAGCAGAACTTCGCGCGTTCTACGAATGCGAACGAAACATCACACAGATCCAACACAAATTGAAGATTTAAATTGCTAGAATAAAAAGGATGATTTAAATTTGTTATTTTTAACTTTTTGCCACCATTCGAAGGCAATTCGGAGGCCACAATCGACTGTCGCGTATCCAGTACAATAATGTCTCCCTAATTCGCGCTCAGATCGCGCACAAAAGTGGACAATTCGGGAAGAGGAGATACGATTATTCGAGTCTCATGGCTCATTTTTATAATTGCCTACTGTCAATGATTATAAAACGAGGCGCAAGGCTCGAATAATCGTATCTCCTCTTCCTAAATTGTTCCCAAATTTGAAGGAAAATTAGGGAGAATTTACTGTACATAAATGTGACATAACTTTGACAGAAGCTCTCAATAAATAACAAACGATGGCTACAAAACCTTCCGAAAAACTCACCGAACGGGATGATCCTGGCAACACGTGACAAGACATCGCGATCATCGAACAGCATTTTTGTCGATACGGAGCCGCAGCAACGATGTCTCGTTAAGCTACCAAAATTTAATCACGATGTTGAAAAACTCGGGGAGAACGTCGTCTATTTTTCCGAGGCTGTGTAGCAACTGCAGAAACATTCGCAGTCTAACGATATCCTCCCCTTCCCTCCGTTCGCCTAATCCGGACGATAACGACCGTTCGGAACCATCCAAATCGAAGAAATAAATAATGTAGCCGCGCCGCTACACCGCGCCGCGCCGAGAAAAAGCGGGGCAAAATTCGCGGGAGCGGTGGTGAACGAAACGAGGCTGGATCCCGAAAAAGCAAATTCTCTCGGCGCTCGATTTTTCACGCGAAAAATGATCACGAAATGCCTCCGCAGCCTCGAAAACACAACAGAGATATTTCGGTGGTCCCTTTCAGGCGGCCCCGACGGGTGTGTATCCACCGACCCGAGCACACCGTTAAAATTTGTCGCTCGCGAAGTTACGATAAGTCAATTTACACGGGCGCCGGTGGAACTGTTCGGAGCCGCCGCCCCTCTGCTCTCATTCCTCTCCCTCTTCTCTCTCTCTCTCTTTCTCTCGTTTTATTACTCTCTCGCTCTCGCGTTCTATTTCTCTCTCGCTCTCTCGTTCTATTTCTCTCTCGCTCTCTCGTTCTATTTCTCTCTCTCTCTCGTTCTATTTCTCTCTCGCTCTCTCGTTCTATTTCTCTCTCTCTCACTCGCGCTCTCTCTCTCGTTCTCTCTCACTCGCGCTCTCTCACTAGCGCTCTCTCACTCGCTCTCTCTCTCGCGCTCTCTCTCTCGCACTCTCTCTCTCTCTCGCACTCTCTCTCTCGCGCTCTCTCTCACTAGTGCGCTCTCTCTCTCCCTCTCTCTCTCCCCCGCACAGTGTGCACCNTCTCTCGTTCTATTTCTCTCTCGCTCTCTCGTTCTATTTCTCTCTCTCTCACTCGCGCTCTCTCTCTCGTTCTCTCTCACTCGCGCTCTCTCACTAGCGCTCTCTCACTCGCTCTCTCTCTCGCGCTCTCTCTCTCGCACTCTCTCTCTCTCTCGCACTCTCTCTCTCGCGCTCTCTCTCACTAGTGCGCTCTCTCTCTCCCTCTCTCTCTCCCCCGCACAGTGTGCACCTCTCACTCCGTTCCTCTCTGACGAACCGGTGAACCGGAAACGCGCTTACGATCGTGGCAAGGATCGATACGTCTCGTTGCTTTCGCGTAAACTCGACCGTGAAATGTACAATTCCTTTCTCTGATTGCGCCCGATAATAAACCGGCGCCGTTTCGGACGGACCTCCGCAGATCGACAAGCCGGGTACACCTGTGGCGGCGGCGAGGGGGTCGCGCAGCTGTACGCCAACTATGGGCGGAATCCCTGGGCCCTTGGCATCGCGAGTCTATCATCCGCCATCGTCGCAGCAAACGCCACCGCAGGGCTATCAGGGTTTGCCGTCCCGCGGCAATGAGCCACCGCAATCGTCTTCGCCGTACAGCAACTTACCATACGCCAGGACTTCCATGGTATCCGCTCGGTCTCTTGATCAATCCAGTCCCAGCCGCCGGATAACGAACCGCAGGATCTCCATAAAGTTTCGCTACGTTTTCCAGGGTGCTGCAGTTCGCACCCTGCCCGTGACACGGGGACACTCCGGTTTACGCGCGACCGGACTGTGGATTTTTATGCATTTACGGCTACCCAAAGTTCTCGAGCAGCGATGGGAACACGATAGTTAGCATCCGTCTCCGGCAATTGAGCCGTTTATTTTGAAAGTGGCATAAGTCGCTTTGTTTTGTAAGTCGATATATTGAAGGGTTTGCGTTTGAACACGTTTAAAAATATGGATGCTAACTTTCGAGATGATTTTCTTGTATTTGTTATCTCAGGATACTGATATTTTTCTCGGTGTAAATAATTTCGTATAAACATTAAAAAGTCACCACTTTTCATTACGGTGACTTATGCCACTTTCGAAATAAACGGCTCAATTGGGAAATATTATAGTCCGCTCGAATCTGCGCTTCTTCGTGACTTTGGTGGAATACGCGGTGATTAGTTAACTGATCTGGAAAGACTGATGTTGAAGGAAAGGTTGACTATATATGGATTTCTCCCAGAAATGTTCGGAGGTTCGAATCGAAACCGGCGGATCTGAGAATAGTAAGCCGCGATTATTCGGAACTTGCGGCTCGTTTTTATAGAAACTCGGGGCAGTCGGTAAAAAAAGGTGCTAGAATAAAAAGGATGACTTGAACTTTTTATTTTTAATTTTTTACCATGATTCGAAGGCAATTCGGAGACCGCGTGACGCGATTCGACGGCAATTCAGAGGCCGCGTGACGCGATTCGAAGGCAATTCGGAAGCCGTGTGACACGATTCGACGGCAATTTGGAGGCCGCGTGACGCGATTCGAAGGCAATTCGGAGACTGTTGCGTATCCAGTATAGTAATTTCTCCCTAATTTGCGCTCAGATCGCGCACAAAAATGGACAATTCGGGAAGAGGAAATACGATTATTCGAGTCTCATAGCTCATTTTTATAATTTCCTACTGTCAACAATTATAAAACGAGGCGCAAGGCTCGAATAATCGTATCTCCTCTTTCTAAATTGTTCCCAAATTCGAAGGAAAATTAGGGGGAATTTACTGTACCTAGCTCCGCAATTTTTCTTAACTGACTCAAATCCGAACAGACCATTTTAGCATCGACGTAGCGATAAATTACATAGACGTAAGACTAGCACGGGGTAATTCACAGCAACCCGAAATTTCGCATTTCTGGGAGAAATCACTGTAATCGGTGATAATCGACGGCCATTGGATAATTCCGCTTAAGGGTGCGAATGGGTTGAAGGAGCTATTAAATGATCAATCACCAATTTCCTTATTTGGTCCATTGTTCGCGAAAGCACGAATTTGCATAAACATCCGCAGTCTACGATAAGTAAAAGAACAAAAATATATGATGACTCGTAGCACAAGTATCAAGGTGAATATCAAAATTTAAAAAAGAGTGCGATAATTAAATCGTTCAAAAATACTGGAGATTAACTATAAAATGCCATCGCGTAATTACTATGGCGATACTTGTTGACCAAAAGTCAATATACTTGTTTCCTTGGACACCGTTAAACGATTCTCCGAACAAATTCGTCTTCCGACTGAATTTATAAAATCGATTGATCTGTTCCTATATTAAGCAACATTCGTGAAAACTTCGAGAAACATTGGCGAAACGTTTGAAATTATTTAAACGAACATTTTCCAAATCGCTGGATCGAGCGCGGCCGCGACACGGCTTTATCCTCTGGATTAATGCTGTCCAAGCTCGCTAAAGATAGATCGGACTCCTCTCGCTGCACTTCCATTGTCAAGAAAACCAAGAGATTAAGTATAACGTTATCCGCATCCGACTCGCGAATTCCACAGTTCTTTGTCTTTTACTATTTTCGGTGTCGTTCGCTAACAACGAGAATAGCAAGGAAAGTCTAAAACTTCACCTGTGAATAATACAGGAGATTCGCCACGATTTTCCGTCAGCTTGCAAACAGAACTGGACAATCGCGAAGAGGAGACAGGATTATTCGAGCCTCGCGGATTATTTTTATAACTGCCGGATTGTCAACAATTATAAAAACGAGGCGCGAGACGCGAATAATAACTCTTCTCAGATTTATCCATTTTCGTTTACAAGCTGACGGAAAATTAGGGAGAATTTTTCTAGGTTGCTATCACGTACACTAGCAACTGTATACAGTAAATTAATTAAAGTAGATTAATTAAAGATTAGAGCAGTCTGAGAATATATATATATATATAATGATAATAATATATATATAATAAAATGAATAATCTGATTTATTGCTATCGTGCGGTGCAAGCAATAAATATATATATATTTATAATTGTAATATATAATATTATAATTTATATTTATAATTATAATATATAATAATATATTATATTATATAACATATTATATTATATTATTATAATATATAATATATATTATTATTATTATATATATATATATATTTATTGCTTGCACCGCACGATAGCAATAAATCAGATGATCCATTTTATTGAAACTTACGTCATCGCGTCTATTGGTCGCCGCTGATCGATTACGATCACACTGCTGATTTTAATGCAAAAAATTGTCTTCATTAACCTGCAAAATTGCCGAAACTGCGGAGACATTAATTTCTTTTCGTAACAATTTTAACCGGTCGTCGGTAACAGAAGAATAATTCTAAATTGTTTAAAAAAACTAGTCACAATCATCTTAGTCACTTCGGTCTCGTGAGTGCATAAAAAATATCAGCAGTCTAGTTACGATGCAAAAGCGCGGACGAGTTGTCAAGGATTGTAATATCAAATATGAAATTTCATACATTGTGTATACATATATTTCGCAACAGCGTGCAGAGACTTTATGAAGATCCGTGTTTCAATTCGAATAGAGGCGGATACGGTTCTCTCTATAATTGAGGCGAGATTACAGGTTTCTTTCATTTAATATGTACAATGCTCCCCCACATAATCACACTGGTTCTACTGCCGCGATTATATAGACAGAGCAACGAATACGACTTTGCAATCGTTCATCTTATAATAAAAGAACGGTCCCCTTTCGAAGAAGTACGCCGAAGATACGCAGCCTATAAAGCACAATTATTAAGGGGGAATACTGTATTCACGTTCTACGACCTCCGCATAGTGTTCGAACGATGATCACAACATCTGCATAAGTGTCTTCGCGGAACTCCATTCATTTCGTTGCCTGTTACAGCTCGGTTTCGATGGTCACGTAAGGATACCACCGGGTAACGGGATGAGCAACATCCCAGGCGGTAAAACGTACGTATCTGTTATTGTAATTATCGTCTCGAAGTTAATTGCAAAAATATACTTTCGCAATCGGACAGCATCGGACACACTTCCGAACGATCTGTTCGCGAATACGTGGTTATTTGAGACTGTTTTGCCTTTGCTTACGCGTATTAAATCTTGATCCGTGCCAAAAAAGTACCGTAAAATGTTTGTTTTGTAACGTTTATTTGCCATACGTATTTGTAGAACTCGTGGTAAACAATCTCACGTGCTGCGATTTAAGAACCGTCGGAAATATTTTTCTGATCGATCGAATTTTAGACATTTTATCCGGAGAAAGAAAAATGCTAATTAAACATTGTATATTTACGTGAAAATTGTATTTTTCCGTGAAAGTGAAACTGGCTTTGTTGCACTCACGAAAACGTGATAACTAGTATAGGTAACATTTTAATCTTCTATGCGCTGAATATAAATTGGAAAGTCGTCTTTCATCGTTCTAAGATTTTTAGTAATTGAATTTTATAATAAAGAGTCTTTACAACTTAATCAATTATTTCTATGTCAGACGTAATGGCTGTACGAATTATTTTTACGTAGAACGACTACGCAAACGCTTCAAAGTACGTTAAGTTGTTACAACGGCAATATTGTAAAGTGTTTCAATCAAGAAACACTATTAATTGTGTGATAGGGGAAGTTAAAAAATTGTGATAACAATTTCGTATACAGCGGGTCTCCCGAAATTGTGTTACTTCCAGAAAATGAGAGATTCCTGAGGTCATTTCAAGTAACTTTTCCCTTTACAAAAATCTTCTCCGAGGCATCGTTATCGAGTTATTAACGTAAACGCTGACCAATGAGAGGCGAGCTCAGTTGACGCGAGGTGGCCGAGCCAGCGGCGCCAGCGGTCGAAGCGGCCGAGTCAACGGCGCCAACGGTCGAGCGGTCGAATCCCAGCTCAGCTGGCGCAAGGCGGCCGAGCCAATGAGTGGAACTGGGCTTCGTGCGCTGGTTGGCTGGGCCGCCTCGCGTCAGCCGATCTCGCCTCTCATTGGTCAGCGTTTTTCACCGATAACTCGTAAACGAAGCCACGTAGAACATTTTCGCTAAGGAAAAAGTTACTTCAAATGATCTCAGGAACCCCTTGTTTCTCAGAATCCCATAATTTTAGGAATCACGTGAACAACTAAAAATATAACAGTAACTATACCGAATTTGAAGAACTTGTAATTCGTTGACAAAAATTTGACGCTAGAGTTGTATTCAAAATCTTTTAATTTACAATCATTGAAATAGCAGCGACACATTCGTAAGATGTTACAAGATGCGACAGCGTTGCCTAATACTTCGAATTTTATCATCGATACATGTGGAACAGTTCTGCGTCTATTTCCGGTATCGTTGAAGCGGCGGCACGCGGAGTATTTGTTTCGGGGCGCCGTTTCCCCGTGTAGATACAGTTCGGTGTTTCGTTAAACGCGAGCTTTTAAGTAATCGAAGGCATCGCGTTCTGCAACGACAAAGCCATTAACGTTTTACATTTCACCGCAGAGCAATCTCGTTCCACGCGAACGGCGAGGGTGAGATGCAGCCTGTGGCATTCCCCACGGACGCTCTGATAGGACCGGGAATTCCACGTCACGCGCGTCAGATTAATACCTTGACTCACGGCGAAGTTGTGTGCGCTGTTACCATCTCGAATCCGACCAAGTACGTCTACACCGGCGGCAAAGGGTGCGTGAAAGTCTGGGACATAGGACACGAGGGCGGTGGCAGTACCAAGCCTGTATCGCAGTTGGACTGCCTGCAACGCAGCAATTATATTAGGTCAGTTGTCTTATAGTTCGCCAACCGACCCTAATGAATTAACCGCATTAACCCCTTCCCGCGACCGTTATTTTCTTCGCTGTCGCGGTAATTAGAAGCTCGTTCCGTTCGATCATTCCCTCTGCGAAACTGAAAACTATTGGGTTGGCAACTAAGTAATTGCCGATTTGTTCAATGAAATAACAAATTTTTTTTTTACTTGGAACGAAGTTTAATCTGTAATGTATTTTCCATTTTGTTCGACGACCTTTTGCCATCTCTCCGACAACTTGAAAATTCCACGCTCGTAGAAAGTCTGATCCTTTTCGGCCAAAAACTGAGTTAAGTGAGATTTTACAGCGTCATCATCGTTAAAAGTTTTACCACGAAGGGAGTTGTCCAGGGATCGAAACAAGTGGTAATCCGATGGCGCGAGATCAGGGCTATATGATGGGTGTAACATCAATTCCCAACCAATATCCATCAATTTTTGCCGAGTGGACAAAGACGTGTGCGACCTAGCATTGTCCTGCTGGAAAATGACACCTTATGATCAACCAATTCCGGTCGCTTTTCCTTGACCGCTGCATTCAATTTGTCCAGTTGCTAACATTCACGGATAATAAAAAATAACATAATAATAATAATAATAATAATAATAATAATAATAATAATAATAATAATAATAATTTTAATAATATAACATTTACGGATATCATAAAAATGGGAGTGAGAGACATCTATAACTGAAATCGGCAATTACTTAGTTGCCAACCCAATATTTGTCGCGTGTACGCGCTTTCATCGCTCGCCGAACGACGAATATCTTTTATTCCGCCATTTTTTTTTATTAACGATGAATATCTTTTATTCCGCCATTTTTTATCTTATTCTTGTAATTCGCGAGCTGTACAAGACAAAAAGCTGTTCGAAAAAGTTCTCGAACAACAGCCACTTCTATAGGAATCTAATTAAAATAGGAACAAAATATCGATGAATCGTTTACAAAATTTTTTCAGTTGTTTAAACAATTAATAAATCCCGTGTCGCACGATAGATTCGGATGAAAAAAGTAACATGTTTCGAGACCTTTTCTATCTTGTATAATTTGCGAATTACAACAGTAAAATAAAAAATGGCCGAACATTCGAGGGTTAATTTTCACCCCTCTAAGAGAATTTACGCGAACAGTGACAAAATTGCGTAACACAAAATAAGAATAATAATAAAATAAAATAAAGAAAGTTTCAAAATACTTTGTATTACTTTGATCGTCCCTTGTAACTTAAAAACTAGTCCTACCCCCGCAATTTGATCGGACTCCTGGGACGGGCGACGGTTAACCCCTCGCCGTACTTTAACGAGTCGGACTCGTGGCGCAGATTTCTAGTAACATCCTATTAAACACCAATGTTATTCCGTTTTTTAAGCCGGAATAAAATTCTGCCCTCTTGCGATCAATACTTCAATCATCCCGATAAACGTAAACTCGCGATAAATATAAATTTTCTTTTTTGTTCGAAGAAATTATTACAATCGAAAATGTGCTTATCGTTTTAATTACGAAGAAAATGGTACGGCAAGAGATTAAAATAAAAAATAAAGGGTCCCTCGAAAACACCGCGGAACTTCCGAAGCTTCTCGCGCGCGTTGTCCTCTCTTCCTGCCCCCGCGAACAATCTTCATCCCTGCAACGCGAATCGAATGAAAAAAAAAAGAAAAAACGTTTGTTCGTTTCGTAGATCGGTGAAGCTGTTGCCGGATTGTAGAACGCTGATAGTCGGAGGCGAGGCGAGGCAGCTGATCATCTGGGACCTGGCCAGCCCGACGCCGAGGATCAAGGCGGAGCTGACCTCCTCCGCGCCGGCCTGCTACGCGCTGGCCATCTCGCCGGACTCGAAAGTCTGCTTCAGCTGCTGCAGCGACGGCAACATCGCCGTGTGGGATCTCCACAACGAGATTTTGATCCGGCAGTTCCAAGGGCACACGGACGGCGCCTCCTGCATCGACATCTCCGCGGATGGCACGAAGCTCTGGACAGGAGGGCTCGATAACACCGTGCGTTCCTGGGACCTGAGGGAAGGCAGACAGCTGCAACAGCACGACTTGAATTCGCAGATATTCTCCCTGGGCTATTGTCCGACCGGAGAATGGCTCGCGGTCGGTATGGAGAACTCGAAGGTCGAGGTCCTCCATGCATCCAAGTCGGATAAGTACTGCCTGCTCGTACACGAATCCTGCGTCCTATCGCTGCGTTTCGCGTCCTGCGGCAAATGGTTCGTCTCCACCGGCAAGGACAATCTGTTGAACGCCTGGCGCACACCCTACGGAGCTTCAATATTCCAGGTGTGTATGCCACTCGCGGCCCGTGTGCACGAATTTTCACGGATCGAAGGATTCCACCGGGCGCTCCGAATATTCACGACGGCGAAGGTATTCGCGTGCCCCGGCGTACGTAGACGTCGGCGCGAAAAATTTCTTGGACCTCGAGGTTGTATCGCGGAGGCTGTTCGACGGGCTCGCGTGCTTTCGGAGGCTCCGGGAGATTTTTCTCGTGCGGCGATCGCTTGTCGAATGACCGGTACATACGTGTTATGTACGGTAATGTCTCCCTAATCCGTTCTTTTATCATTTTTTCTACAAATTACACATCCGCGTCTTCCGTATACGCTTCATTTCGATGCCGCGTATATGCGGCGCCCGTACCCACAGGTCGTCGAGTGGATGCCGCATATATGCGGCGCTCGGCGCGAAAGGGTTAACACTAGATTTACGGAGCACAAGAAACAGCTGTTTTATATTAATTTATTAAAGTAAAAATAAGACGTTCATTCTGATTTTTAGCAAGCGCTAAATGTATATGCGTCGCTCGGCGTGAAAGGGTTATATACTTAAAATACTTTTATGTACTATATAATAATATAATATATAATATATATATAATAATAATAATATATTACTATAATTATTATACTAAAAGTATAATTTTATTAATATTATACTTTTATAAAAGTATTTTAAGTATAAAATACTTATAATATAGATATATATAATATAGTAATATATTATTATTGGTATTATTATTATATATATATTATATATTATATTATTATATATAGTATATATATAGTATTATTATTAGTAGTATTATAATATATATAATATATATATTATAATACTTATAATATAAATATATACTTGTAATAAAGTATAAAATACTTGAAATAAGTAAATAATACTTAAATACTTAAGTAATCCACCATAAAGTAGAAAATGCACGCAAGAATGTGAAAGAAAGAGAGAGAGAGAGAGAGAGAGAGAGAGAGAGAGAGAGAAGTTTTTGAATCGAGCTGATGTGTGTCCCTCTGAATTGTTGTTGCAGTCGAAGGAGTCATCGTCGGTACTAAGCTGCGACATCTCCGCCGACGACAAGTATATCGTGACCGGGTCCGGTGACAAAAAGGCCACAGTATACGAAGTGATTTACTAAGCGCACGCTATAAAGGACGTTCATGTTTCTCACCCTTTGCCGGAATCCGAACTCTAAAGAAAACCCGCGGCTCTCCCCGACCCCCTCGGCTCCTTTTCTCGCGGGAGAACCCGGGAGAAGTGAGACTTTTAGCAGCCTTAGGAACCTAGACTGTTACTACTGTGTATATATTAACGTACGAGGTCTATACTACGCTAGCGTTTTAAGAGGAAGAGCCGAAGACGAGACGGCGAGAGGAGAGGACGTCGGCGGGAGAGGACGACGGCGATCATTCGACGTGGCGCGAACGAGCGGAAGAAAAGAAGAAAACAGCAAAAACGAAAAAAAAAGAAAAAAGAAAGAGAGAGAAGATCGGAGGAAACGAACGAAGTGAAGTTATAAGGACTACGAGAGAACCCCGATGTGTGTGCCAGAGAAGCTGTATATGTATATTAGAGTTGCGTGTGCGTGGCCCGATTGTTACCGAAACGACGGTGTGATTTCCGCGGAGGAGAACGAACTGATTCTTTGTTTCGTGTGTACACAACGAGATTACGCGTTCTCGACGGGACACGTGTTACCGGGCGATAACTTGCATGCTCGTCAAGTGACCGGGGAAAGCCTTGCAACTGGTGATGCTAGATATGATTTCGTATAAATACCTAATTGTAAAATCAACGCACGGCCGGCGCGCGAGGTAGGCGAGAAATCCTGGCCGATGATGGCACGGTTCTGTCCGCGACGACGACGACGACGCCCCACCGATCTCGCTTACAGCCGGCAAAAATGATTCTCTTCGAAACTTTTTCAACTGTTTTGCAACCATTGTCCCCCCCACCCCTTCTCGCGCGTTGCTGCTAGGCGATAGCGACCTTACCGCCCGCTGCGCACCCTTTGAACCCTTTTCGAACGGCGAGCGGCCGGATGCTGACCCGCTCTCGGCGCGGGCTCGTTACAGTTTCCCACGGATAATTAGTAATCTCCGAGGAGAGTCGCGACGACAGAATAAACTGGAACACGTCGACGTCGTGGTGAACGGAGCTCCGCGACGATATTCGGTCTACCCCACCGGGTCCCCCCTCGGCTTCCGTTCATACGTCGCGAAAGGGTTCGATCGTTTAAATGTTTCGCGCGCGCACTCGATCGCGAATCGGTACGGCGCGATCGGGAAACATTACGGAGGAGTATATCGTCGTTGAAAAGACGCGTCGGGCAACGGCTGTTTCTACCTGAACGAGGAAAGTAAAAGACGCAAGACAAAAGCTGCACTACGGGGTGGCGCGCAGTGCTGTGTATTGTTTGAAACGTAAACTGGCCATGACCATTAATTTTAAATATATCGATTAAAAGTGATTGTCTTTTCTATTCGAGGATGCGCGGTGATCTCGTGATTAATTCTCTCTGAATTCTTTACAGTGAATCGCGTGATAAGGCGTTAAGGGGTAAGTAAATCGTTATTTATCTATCAACGAAAATCCGCTCGAATCGTTCTTGTCTCTTCTCGATTATTTCTGCAAACAGAGATTCTCTTCTTCGCCATGCGGTATCCGAACAGATAAATAATACGGTGCAAATCTTTTATGCAGTTTCTCGCTTTTCGTAGATCGTCGGTTAACAGGAAACATTATTATTATTATTGTTATTATTCAGTGATACGAATTCTTCGGCAAATGCATCAAGATCCGCGGTCTGGTCACAAAGTTCCGTGCTCGGTGTAATAATATCGAACAAATCCGAAGAAATCGCGCGAATCAAAAGCAAGTAAATTTATCGTGAAATTCTCTTCAAATTCTCTTCTTTCAATTTTGTTTCATAGGACGATGAGAAAGGCGCGGAGGATGAACGCAAGCCGACGCGGAAAACGTGCGGTTTCTCAATGTCTCGAATAAACGCATCGTTATCAGACCGCCGATCTCTATGCAAGATTATAATTTCTCGAAGAAGTTTGAAGAACGAGGTAGCAGTTACTTGAATTAAAATTAAAATAAAGCAACAGTGTCTTAAAACTCTTCCGATATATATACTACATATATTTTCTTCGTTGATGCACAAAACCCGCAGCCTACTCGTTGTACAATGATAAATAATAGAAGAAAGTGATTCGTTCGATTTTGCGGACGAACGAACGGCCCGCGATTCGGGCGGTGAAACTTATTAGTGCGATTATTGCGCGAAACTTGAGCGGGCCCGTGACTGCAACGACGTAACGAAGTTTCCTCCTATTCCGTCTGGTTGGGTGATGCGTTGCATGATAGACGCGCGCGGATAACATGAAAACGCTGACCACGCCGAATGCAGGCGATCTTAAACGCTGCGCCGGTGCGCCGCGCGTGTATCATTGAATTCGATTAACCCCCCATAGCTGCTGTGCCACATCGAGATTGGCAAAGGATTTTGAAATGTTCGCGAGAGAGAACGATGGCTCGCGCGCGCGATGGATGCTTCGAACGTTGAAAGTAGAAGAAAGATTCACAAGACCCACGCGTTCGTTACCAAATAGCGTTTAAAATACAATCTCCTTGTCAGTGCTCTCTTATTGTGCTTACGAAACACTTTTTAACCGCGAGACTAAGCGCGGTTTATCCGAACGTACGTATTATTTTTCAAGTGTGGGAACGCGGTTGAAATCGCTGTTTCCCGGTGAATAATTATTACTTTCGATGTTCCGTTCACGATAACAGTTTTCGAATAGCTTTTTAGGCTTTTCGTCAAGAAATCGAAACCGAAATTTGTAATTGATTGCTCTACGGTTTTGAACGTTTTAGTAACAGCGATCCTGTGACGTAATAACAGCGCTAAATATAGTCTGTATTGTATAGAAGAAATGAAGTAAAAAGAGAGAGAGAGACCGGAAACTGTAAGTTAACTTTCGTGTAAACGCAAAAATAACTGTAATTATTTCGCTTTCGGTTTCTTCCGACTACGTAGTTGCATTTTCTACGACGAATTGCAACTTAAAAAGAAAAAATATGGAACGTTCGAGTCCTATTGTGAGCATAGTTGCAACTATTTTCTTGCGTCAGATTTTACTATAAAAAGAAAAACAAAAAACAAGACGTATTAAGTTGTATTGCGTACGAATGAGTGTAATTAATGAACAAAACTCCTTGTACAAAATTCTTAGATACGGACTTGGATAGATGTAATATCGAGTAATGAATAAAAAGTCTATGATTTATTCGCAAATGAACAATCAATTTTTCCATTGTAACAACGTCCGTTCGCCAACGAAGGGGATTCTTGTGTTTATTTGCTTATAAGACATCCTCAAGTGAAGTTTCTTATTCTTAAATTGACTGTTAGTTTAGTATATGTGTCAACGATAATAAATAAACCACAGGTTCTATGCATTTATGGTTAACGCGGATGTGTAAGACACAACCAAATAAATGAATTTAATATGAACGTAACAAGGCTCTGCGTTATTTTTACACCTAACGGTCACAGAATTGTTGAATACAATTTTTCGGAACATTGTTCTCAAGTATAACGAACAAAATGTTTTTTTTTTTTTTTTAGAAGTTCGTAAGGAAACTTGCCCAAAATGCGCGAACTTTTAGGAGAACATCCGAAAACTATGATTTCAAGCGCTCGAAGATGTCGCTTTTGCGGATAAAAATTATTGTAATGTTTTATTATTATTATTTCTATTATTTGTATTACTATTTATTATTATTTTTTATTGTAACGTTTCATATGGCATCGCTTTTAGTTGCGATTAAATCGTTAATTTCTGCACTGCCAGTTCTTGTACATTTACAACAGATCGTTGTTCTATTTGACTCTCGTTTTTTGCAATTCGTGCAAAAAATTCAGTGGATTAATTATGTGCATATCAACATTTAACCTCTATCTTTGTCGCGAATCTATGACTCAGTCCTCCAGCTAAAATAGAATGCAAACTAACGATGTGCAAAAAATCAGGATTCGATCTTTTTAGTCATCGCAATATGGGACAGAGGTGATCTTATTAAAAAAACAACAAATTATAAATATTTTCAATGAGTGTTGTCGAATAATCTGACTTATGATCAATAATGTTATTATCTTTAATCGGTGCTTCAGTCAATTACTTTCACAACGCAAACTGATTTTTCAATTAAGTGTGCATCGAGCCTCTTATTTCGTAGGCTATCATCTTCCCCATAGAATGTGATTACACTTAATCCTTAAGTGGAGCATTAGGATCGTTGTGACCCTATGCGAATTTATGATGATTATTTAATGTGTATTGACGTATCTATTTGATCATTTACATAGCACTTTATTATAATAAAGGGGAATGCATTCCCGTGTTCCCGATGCTGTAAAGCAAAATTAATTTCTATTTAGTAACTTGATAACAATTAATATTAATTGAATTACCCAAGTAACAAAATATCAATATACTTTTCTCTTCTTTCTAATATCTACTTCAGTGTTCGATCAAATTGTCCCGAGAAAATATTGTTTATACAAAATTGCTACATTTCCAATAAATAAAAAAACTATATTTATTTCATCAGTATTTGCACGTACACGNTAATATATATATATATATTATTATATATTATATATATATAAATATAATATATTCCCGTGTTCCCGATGCTGTAAAGCAAAATTAATTTCCATCTAGTAACTTGATAACAATTAATATTAATTGAATTAACCAAGTAACAAAATATCAATATATTTTTCTCTTCTTTCTAATATCTACTTCAGTGTTCGATCAAATTGTCCCAAGAAAATATTGTTTATACAAAATTGCTACATTTCCAATAAATAAAAAAACTATATTTATTTCATCAGTATTTGCACGTACACGCGAGGATACACGATGGAAAGGAAACGAAGAAAAATAGGAAACGAACAACAGGAATTAATCGTCTTTACTTCCGGTAAATTTTCGATGTATTTACATTTACGTGTATCTGTGTGTACAAGATCGTTAAAAACATTAAATGTTTATGCTCGCGTTACCATTATATATTCATGTATTTACATGTGTATTCGTGTGTACAAGATCGTTAAAAACATTAAATGTTTACAGGTCTATTTTTGTATTGCCCAACGCATCGTTTCGCACCTATTCATCCGTGTTTATGTTTTGTCTTCCCTTTCTCTCTTTCTCCCATACACGTTCTCGCTTACTTCGTTTCATTCTTTCCTCTTCTTATTATTCCTCTTATTATCGTCACGCGCGCGCGCACACACATACAACACGCACACAAACACACACGCGTTCACACAATCTCCTCCGCAACACATTTTTAAATATATTTCACATAACACCGCAGTTTATGTACAAGTAGAAAAGACCTAACAACAATATCGACTATCACACCTTATACACCATCGTAAATGGCTTTTACACATACACGTAATCGCGTATCTAAAAGACACTCTTACCGATTTGACACGCCCAACTTTACACCATGTTTGCGTTTTGTTTGTCGGCGCAATTAGATTTCCGTATTTATATCCGTTCAATAAAATCAGCTGGATCGTGCGGATAATACATACTCGCTTTGTGGAGAAAAATAAACTCAATTTGCTTCTTTTCTTCGGCGGATCATGGTCGTTGCGCGCACAAGCGGTTCGCGCAACGAATGAAACGCCTCGGGCGATATTTCCAGATTTAAATGGAACTTCGTACACGCGAAGACTTTTCCTACTTTTTCACGGCGTGACCGCGGGCAGTTTACAATTTCCAAGAAACGTTTAACTTGTGGAAGTATTCATCTACTTCTTGAAAAAAAAATGTTTAGCTGAACATTTACTTAACAGTGACTTTTAAAAATAAGAAAAATACGAGAATCTGTCATGGGGAAAAGAAAAAAGCGTAGTTCGTCTTACTTTCAAAACTACCTGACAGTAGATCCCTAATTTTTTAAATGTTTAACAAGTCCTGCATCATTTTGGTTGAAAACGTTTCGGAAATGTGTATCCTACAATGGTTAGAAGAAAATATCTGATCCACGTGTAAGAGTTCGATAAAACCTGGAAAATGCAAATCGAGTAAATTTCCTTAAATCAGACGTTTCTGCCATCATCGTCATAGAATCGTGCGCGCGGTCTTGCCGTTCTCTCTGGTATGTACAAACTATAAAATACATAACGCAGCTACTTACGTTGTAAAGTAACCAATTTTACAGGAAATGTACAGAGGTGAACGGTGAATTCTTCACGCATTACGTCCTTTTTAGGACTTAAGTGTACATGACGCCTGGTTCTATACTCGTTGGAAGGTGTCTTTGTACAGATAGACAAAAAAGAAAAAATTAATGTATCCTAAAAATAGATAGATACACGTTAGACAATGCTGAACTCAATGTGCGAGACTTTCGTCGAAATTTGTGAATCGCTTTGAACGATTAGAATTGCGCGTTTGCGGTTAATGGCAACATACATATAACCAAGTATGTTTCGCGTGAATGTAAATACATCGTAAAGGTTGTTTAAAAAAAAAAAAGGAACGAGTTCGTTAGCGTCATTAGTCGTTACTCTTTCCTCACGCGTACATCAAGCGATTCGACCATGCACGTAAAACGTTTGTAGCAGCGTAAAAAAGGTTCGCTAAAGTTCAGACAGAAAAAAGAAAAAAATTCTTCGAAAAAATGAAAAACTCGACAACCTTCCATCGTGCAAAATATAAAAATTCTTGCGTCCTCAGAATGATTATGCTTACTATAAGCGCAGACGTAAAATACATTTGGTCGTAAAACTGTACGCTTCTTGCCGGAGTGAGGGCGTCCTTTTTATACATCCTTGTCCTCCCGCGAGAAGGTCCTTAATCCTAATAAAAAGCTATCAACGATTCGTACAAATTGCGTTCACAGATTTTATGGCAACAAAAGTAACCATCTTTTTTTTTTGTCATTTCCTCTGACGTTAATCATAGTTAATTGTGTGAGACGCGGAGTCCGATATTTACCGTATAACGAACAGAAACAAAAAGTAATGAATTTGGACAATAGGTTCAATTAATACCATACCAGTCGGAAAATTAATAAACATATTACTAATAAAAACTAAGCACAGTCGTGCCTGTTTGTTACATTTTTCGTCCGTCGTCAGGCTCGTAAGATGGGCGACGAATATCTCCCTTGCTAGAGATAAAACGATCACGGAGACAAGTTTTGTGTCGCTTTACTCCCGTCCCCCCCCCAAAAAAACCCCTTGTTTACAACGTTGCCAGATTCAGCGTTCCTCTCTTAAATTCATGTGTTTATACATTTAAGAGTATATCAAAATAATTTAATTCGTGACTAGTCTTGCCTCTCGGTAACTTCATCTGACAGACACACCGATAAAATCCCTTTCTTTCTCTTTACAAGTTCGATACGAATCGGAATGCCTAGAATACACCGATCTGTCCTGCGAACAAGTCCCCCATCTGTCACATATACGTTTACCTAGAAAAGCTATAACCAGTATTTATAAATTTCCCTCTCGTCAAATATCACATGCGTTCTAACTACGTTTCGTGTTAGAACGCGTTCGGCACAAATAACGAAATTAAATGGAAATAGAGCCTGGCAACGTTGCCTATACATCGTGTTTACGAAATACGTAACAGGGTCCTTATTTATCGGTATGGTCTCGCATTCACTCTCGGACGTACACTATATTTACAAGTCGCGCTAAATATATCTATTATGTATAATATATACTATATTATCTTACTATTCTTAAGGCTAGTTTAGCTTGCTGCACACACGTGACGTGGTCCATGTGACATTTGAAGACACTGGGTGGTCAGTCGCTGTCGGAGCCCACTGCATTTATCTTTTTTCTCTTTTTCGCTTGCTTTAAATTTACGATCTCCTCCTCCTGTATTCAGAAGATTACAAATGATGGAAAACAAATTTTACACTTCGGTGTAACTAAGCCACGATTGGCATTGAACAAAAACGTATGATCGTGTACTCTCATCGTACATAGAAGTGACTATATGTATTCTGTCGAATTTTTAACAATTACCTCGCTGCTGGATGTACTGCCGATATGGTACCGAGGAAGTGGCCTTTTCGAGGTAGACCTCTCTCTCGTATTAGCACCAGTTTTTCTGTGACCTCCTTTACCAGCGCCTCCGCCACCTCCGGTCGAAGCTGCCGCGTGTTTTCTTGCTGAACTCGTTGGCGGGGGTGGAGGAGGTTCGTTTTCTTCATTTACTTCCGCTAGAGCAAACAAGTCTCCGTAACTTTTCCTTAAAGAATCGCTGCTGGCCGCTTGCGCTTGTTGCAGAGCTCTCTGCATCCCTTCGGAATGGTAGAGCTGTAGTTCTGATGAAGACGTGCAATGTTGTCGCAATTGATCCAGATGGCCAAGAACTTGTTCACCAGACGGTGGACCAGGTTGTTGATTGTGCTTTCCACCTGATCGTTTCCGTTTATTCGGACTGGTAGCCGGATACCGCGTACTCAACAGATTTGCAAGTAACTCGCCAAGTTTCTCTTCGTAATCGCGACACCAATAGCGCAAAGCTGCTACAACGAACATGTCGCCATCCACATTTTGTCGTGCAAGCAATTGTCGGAGAAGTTCTAATGTTGGCCTGTTAAAAATTGTTCAGATAACATGAAGAGTAAATATAAGAAACATAGAGCTCAGTTTATAATTTCCACGTGTGGTTTACTTACTTTTCTTGTTTAAGCATAAACAATATCGAGGTCAGCGCTTCCGCATGATCACGAAATTGCAGTTTGGGTAAAACAGGCAGCACATAATCAATCGGGAAATCATGGGCAGAAATTAATTGCCAGAAACAATATTGTTCGAACGTTTCCCAATTTAAGCTGGCTGTTAATAGAGACGTAAACGATTCCTTTTTTAACATCTTCAAGTGTCCCTGCATTATTTGACAAACTAAATCTTGCAGTTGGCAAGCGTCGACTGTCGACACAACCAAATGCAAGAGTTGAACATTCCCTAGCGCCACATTTTGAAACTCCATGTATACATCAGGCACAAGATAACACAGCATGAATATGTTGTCTTCATGGCAGAGCTAAAAAATCATACGATAGGTTGAAATTTCGTTTTCCCTTTAAATTGTTTTATTAATAAAATTTGAGTTCGCATACCTTTAAATCTGACACTAAACACGCGTCTAACTTCTTTTCCCGATGAGTGCAAAAGTCTTTATATACAGATGCTTTAACATCATTTAATACGTTACTGAAACAGGAATTATTAATGAATAACAAAAATGATAAATAATATGTTACTTTTACATTCGTGTACATTTACATTTAAATGTTACTACACCAACCTTGGTTCACCTTCTCGTTTTTCCTCTTCTCTGCCCCAGACTTTTAAAAAGTAAAGTAACAGGTACCCTATCCTTGATTGAACAGTTTGCAATTCTGCAAGTACCCGAGCTAAAAGTTTCCGCCTATTGTCCTCTTCTTTACACAACTGAAATTGATTTCGAAACATAACAAACAACGGTGTACTTATACTATCAGTCAAAGTTTCTTCATTTAAATGATCCGTTGGAAATATTTGGGACGTAATTTGTGACGATAATATAGTTGATATGCAAGAAGCCAATGCTGGTATATTTTCTGCGTCGATTTCATCTTCCACCACCATTTGCACTATCCTTTCCATTGTTTGACACCTCACTTCATTGTCCGTTTCACTGTGCAAGCTTTCCACAGCCGTCCTTAATTCTTCTGGTTCTAAAATTATGTTTAATTGAGAAGTAATGTCTACTTTTTTCACCACACAATTTGCGTTTTTTTGTTCATTCTTTAATTTCACATTCGCCAACGGAACGTCTTCTTCATCTTCCTCTTCAACTTTAGTCACTATCCTGTAACGAAAATTGCATTTTGCCAATTTAACACATCGCATAACAATTTTGTTTTAAAATTAAACAACTTACCTCAACGGCATTTCTTCCTCTTCATCACTGAACGCTGGTTCTGGATCTTGACTCACGTGATTATTTTCGGCAGTTGTACTAGATGTAATTTCCAACGGCGCTCCTGGTGTAAGATCCTTACTAAGTTCCTCCATTTTACCTGAATATATTGGAACCTTATTTCCTGCTTAAAAAGATCATGCAAAAACCAAAGTTAGTAAGCATTTAAAGTGCTAGAAGCTCGACGAAACTGTGAATAATGTCTGTTAAAAGAAAAGTACAAAAGATGAATTATGAATTGTGTTTCAAAACGATGATTAAAATAATGATGTATTAACCCATAAACTTTCATATGAATACAGATTTCTGTATCTCCTTTCCTGTTTAATATGTACATGTAGCACCTATGTATGATATTTACATTTACAAAATATGTGCACTCACAGATGTTTACATGTAGGCGTGATATTAAGTAATGCATCAATAATGCAATGTCTACAGTCACGTATCATTGTCCAGTAACGTGTTAGTATTTGTGCAGTATTTTATAATAATCTACAATAGAATAAGCGTGCAGAAATTTATAATAATTTTACCAGGATCTGCATTAGGTGGTAAACAAAATTCTTTAAATGTTTCTCTTATTTTGCTTCTCAGTTCGCGATCTAATTTCGGACTATCAAATAGAGGATAGAGACTCGGTAGAACACGTTTCTCCAAAATTTGTCTTAACGACGAGAAAATTCCGTTTCTCACTTTCTCTGTTAACGGTGGATAGAAGTTTGGTATTATCTGCACAAAAGGAAGGAAGTATCAATAAAATCTTACCGAATTAAAATAACTGCTGTACAAAGAAAATTAACATCTGTTTTTACCCTGCATAAAAAGTCTAATAATGTGGCAGTGACAGGTGGATGAGACCTCATAGAATTGTGCATAACAAGAATCGCAGGTTCAATGTTCATAATGTTATCTTTCTCTGGTTCAAAAAATAACCAATCATAAAATAAAGCCAATTTAGCATTGCTTGCAGCCACAGTTGATGTACAAGTGGTAAATAACCATCCTATTACTGCCCATCGCGGTATAATATCTGAACACAATAACTCATTTGTTGGATGAATGACACCAACAATAAATCGTATAAGATCACATCTTAATGATTGTGACTCAGGTGTGGCCAGGTACTGTCTTTGAAACCAATCCTGGTAACGTTTATGGTTACCAAAACGCACTTGACTTGTCAAGAATACTAGTTTCCTTTCCATGTCCGGTGTAAGCCTAGATTGCAGAAACCTCCTAGAAGTTCGAGTTTGTAAAAGTTGTAGAACTCCGCTGAAATTTGGACACAGAGTTTTTGGATTGAGAAGCATATCCTTCCATAGTGCTTCAAATTCTGGAATCCTTGCTACATTTTGCAATAAACGCACTAAATCTCTAAGAATATAAAATATTATTTAGTAGTCGAACCTAGTTGGTAAATGGTAACAATTGTTAATAAGCACAACTTATTTACCTTCCAATAACTAAACAATCCACCATACGTTCCCTGATCAAAGATACTGTAAAAGTAACTTCTTTCTGACGTAAACCAGATAGATGAGGTGCATTATGGTCTTCTATTAATCGCAAATAGGTGTACACTATGGATGCTACTAAAAAAGGAAACTTGTCTAGCCACGGTCGGTTTTCTTGAAATATATCTAAAAGAGCGTCGACCAAGTGCAAATTTCTTGGGGAAATATCACCACCAGCCGCGTGCCTCAACAAACTTAAACAAAGATTATCCACACTAGCTACACTGGTTCTTATCATTTCCCTCACGAGCCATAGTAACTGGCTTCTAGTCACATCGTTCAATCGCAGATATCTTTCAAGTACTAATTGATTAAGATGACCTAAAACAATTGCAAGACCGTCTCGTGTTATTAAAGTCAAGTCTCTGTAACTTTTCGCAGCACTTTGAGGATCCGTCAGAATAACCACTAACAATCCCAACGAGACTTCTTCGTGCGTTTTGTCTTTGCACACTGCATTGTTTAGCGTATCGTGGGCTTCTTTTTCTGACAGACCCGCAGTCAGGTTTTGAAGCACTGTGTAACATCTTTCAAATTTCTAAAAAGGAGCAAAACAACAAGGTTACTACGGTGGTTTCCAACAACGCCATAACATTACTTATTTCGAAGATCGACTTAGCAGTCAAAAGAAACAATTGTGTTGCTAAGAAAACACAATTGCAAATTTCAAAATACGTTATCATAACTGAACCTATTTCGTTAGAAATATTGAAATGATAACGTCGACGATGCGCGTTCGCATTACGTCAGATCTATTAGAATTCCGAGGATTGCATTACAGGCGTAACTGACACGTATTAATTTCATAATTATGTAAATTATTTGAATATTGCCGCTAAGACGCGTGGTTCGACATGTGGCGCCGCGCGGTCAGCGACGTGCGCGACCGTCGCAACAATGGCGGAGCCCCTCGCACCCGATACGTATCCAGTGACTATTTCAAATATTTATGTTACCTCTTCCAAGTCGTCCTTATTCTCTATGCAACTCGTGCTGAGTAGCCGGGACGCGGGAGTTTTCGTTTGTTCCATTGTTGCTGGCTGATCCGCAGCCGTCCCGTGAACGTTATTCCAGGCTCTGTCGAGCCCTCAGCCCTCAGCCCTGTGCCCCTGGCCGCTTGTGCTCGCCTCCGTGCATCGTGATCGTCTCACTGCCTCCTCGTACTCTGTCTCTCTCTTTCCCCACTCTTCGTCTCTCGCGCGGTCTCTTCACTCTGTTTATTCCTTGCCACGGACCTCCCCGACTCCCAGAACAGTTCCGATGCGATTGCGCATTGATACATGCGCCTCTTCGCTTCTCGGCCTCGCTTAGTGACGTGTGGTCCCCACCGCTAACGCCAATCACCGCGCGGACCAATCGCAATCCACCAACCCGTACACACTGACCGACATTGGTGGGGGTACCGTAGAAAAGTATGTGGTGCTGCTTACAGGAACGTATTTATTAAGGGTGCGCACCGAGAGGACGGTCACCTCGGCTCAAAGTGTCTGTGAACCTTCCGACTCCGACCAGTATGTACACCGTGCTAAACCATACAAAAGGGTTCAGTCTCTTCCCGCGTTTAAACGGTTCTCTCTTTCATATGTCATACGATCCTGTATCGATTAAATTTTTTCCCCCCGAGCATCGTGGACCTACATATGCATAAATATGACCCACTAGCGAGCGTTTTGATTTATTACATTAGACGAACGGATGTTTAGCAGTAATTAAACTCGTATAAATACACAATCGCGCTCTCATGCGTACGGATCGTCGCGTGATTTGAAAGCATCGTAAATCGCGTCGTATAACGGATAATGGGGGGAATGTTTGGCGCATTAGTCGGCTGGTTCCACAGAATGCAGAAACGTACGTGTTCCAGCAAACTGTTGCACGCGTTTCGAAACTTTCGAACGGAAATAAAGTATTAATGGTGAAATAACAGTTACGATATTTTGTGGAAACGTTATTGTGTCCGAGCATAGCAATACGATTAGGCGATACAATACAGAAGAAAAAGTATCTAATAACGAAAAGTATACTTATTCGCTGACCACAAATGAGAATGGTACCACGAGGTCATCGGCATCTCGACTTCAAATTACATTGAACTTTATAAAAATAACTCGATGTACGAGCAACGGAATAAATGCTACGATCGCGTTATTGTGCTTCACTGAATGATATTACATCATTTACGATGAGTAATGCGTATTCTGCGAGCAAATGGAAAGGAGGCTTCCGAGAAGAGTTACATCGAAAATTGTGAAAATTGCTAACGCAAGGGCGCGTGAGCTCATAGCTATATAGATACGAGCCTGTGGCGTGAAACTGCGCGTGCGTTTATCACGTACGCAAGAGGAGACCAGCCGACTACATCGTATTGCGTGCCCCGGCCATGCTTCCCGCTTTTCGTTTCCTCGTGTTGCTTCGTGAACCTCTTCACAATCTTTCCCGGATCCTGGTCGTTTTGTGCTCGTGAACTTCACACGAACGTACTGGGGCTCGAACGATTGTTACACCTATACTCGCATTATCACGTTTCACGGGATATATGCAGTTGCATCGCAGCAATACATCCGTGCACGTCAACCTAACCCCTAATAAGTGCAACAGCCACGGACCTGGCATTCCATTACGATATATAAGGCTTTCCTTCAGGTATCCGTGATCCATTTTCCTTCCTCTTTCATATTTAAAAACACACTGGCATAATAACCACCGTTTCCCGTATTATTATCTTTTATCGAACAAAGCATACGAGTGTCGGTTTTATCGCTGACGATTCGGGCTTCTCTGTCGTAAAGATGTTACGATTATGCGAATTCAACATCGCAGGTGTTTAACGAATAAATTGTCGAATACAGATTACCGTTTGAATTATTATTCGAACTGCAATCCGACGCGATTATCGAGTAGCTTTCTATGCAATCATCAGGTTGCATTCGACCGTCTTTATGAAATTGCTTCTATCCGAATTGCGTGCTATTGAAACGGCTTTGTTTGATTACGATTCGTTTCGGTAACGTGTGTAACGATTACTCTATTGTTAGTTGGTATACAAATTAAGACGGTAAAATAACAGATCGGCAAACAATAGGACGAGTAAATAGCATATTATTACCCTCGGCGGCATTATCGTGAAAAGGAAGTACGTTTCCCAGTAATTTGAAAAGTAACTCGAACGTGTGCCGGACGAAGGTGTAGCGAGAAGTGACCAGAAAGAGTGGTTTCTACAATGCTTACCTTGTCTACTATACCTTGTAAATAATTGAAAACGTCAATGAACGCATGCGCACGGAAAGGCGTGCTTGTACATAGTCCCGTCAGGATCGTATATGACAGAAACACCGAAGAGGGGATCGGAGCATGTTCGAAAAACATTATAAAAATCACTTCTTTCGTTTCGCTGGTCGGATCATGCGTTATTCATGACCAAACCCTGCAAATGGGTACGGCTCTTTCAAAAATCATAAAACATAACGCTTAAACGTTTCAACAGGCTGAACAATATAATTTCAGAACGGCTTTATTGATTTTTTTATTGTACTGCACGCGCTTGTTTATTTACTCGTTTTATTAGTTAAATTTACTTTCCGATCACCGTATGCACTTTTATACGACTATTAGAGGGACTTCAATTACTCTTTTCACTTCCATGCGCTGATCTATCGCGCCGGTGGTTCGCAATTACTTGCGTTATTATAGTTACATTGTGTCGGAACATATAGATGAAAACTATTGTGCGTTCGAAGGAGGACAACGTGTAAAATATGGAATTTGGAACTCGATGGTGAAAATTAATACGCGTGCGCCCTGTTTCCCATTTTTATTGGATAATCTCATCAGATACAGAGAAACCAGCACACCGTAAACTGTTCGGAAGAACGTGTCTTTAAAACAAATAACATCGTGTACTTACATTCGAATTAACACTTAATGAGCTCTCGGTGATCTACGGATAACCGTGTCTCGAGCACCTGGCGCATAGCCAATGCGGTTGCGAAAAAACGTGTTATCGCGAACATCTCTCATTAAAACAGATATTGTATTCTTATAAGTCTTGTTTTGTGTAACACTACTTTCGGATGTTCTGAGAATAATTACATTTTTGATGAACTCGTACGAACGTAAGAATTTATTATCCTAGTTAGCAAAAAGATCGCGTTTAGTCGCATCGTTTCTTTTATCGAACAAAATTGTAAATTGTATTCGACATTTTACGGGTTTCACTGAGTCGAAAACATTATTTTTGCGTAAATATTCAAAATTCTAGCAGACACGTTAACATTTCAATTGTTTGTTCAGTGTCGGGAATAACATCGGCATTTTAAGAGGATCCGATAATGTATGGACTAGGATATCAATTCGATAGAATAATTCATTTCGGTATTGATATGGTAATGTCACGCATAATAACAGGTTATAAATGCTAGTGTGCATTGCATCGAGTTCAATGTATGCGGTTAAAAAGTTAATTAATATGCATGCGAACGATATTCGGGCCAATAAATTTACGTGTTACGTATTTTTCGACGATATCATTTTTAATCGTATGAATAGATGTATGGAAAAAAATTGATACTGATAATATTAAAAATTAAATATACATTATAATTCAACAACTTAAAGAAGTAAACGTATACATTTCTACATAATACTATCTCAATCCTTTGAAATTCTCTCTCTATATGAGAGCTATAATTTATTTATAAATAATGTACATATTATATTCCTACAAAGAAGTGCTAACCTTTGATAGCATATTGGTAGAATCATAAATGCATAACATTGNGTATGGAAAAAAATTGATACTGATAATATTAAAAATTAAATATACATTATAATTCAACAACTTAAAGAAGTAAACGTATACATTTCTACATAATACTATCTCAATCCTTTGAAATTCTCTCTCTATATGAGAGCTATAATTTATTTATAAATAATGTACATATTATATTCCTACAAAGAAGTGCTAACCTTTGATAGCATATTGGTAGAATCATAAATGCATAACATTG